ATTCGAAAAATCGTGCCCGCCATCTTGGATTTAGAAATGAGTGCCATTTTCGTAATGAGCATCCCCAAAAACCTCGAAAAGGATACCCATATAGCATTCTTTGAAAAATCGTGTCCGCCATCTTAGATGTACAAATAAGTGCTATATTCGTTTTTTATCGACAAAACTGAGCATATCTGTAGGCACCTGAGCGACAATGTCGGGCAAATCTGTAGGCACCTTTAGCTTAATGATGAGTTAAGTAAGATACAATTTCCCCACTTTTGAGGGAAATGTTATTCCATGGCATCATTATTTGTATATTTGTGTGCGTGCCGACGAGCGTAGTTACAAGTTGCTTACGCCTACATGAATTTGGTTTTTGCCTCACTTGTGACAGTTCGTTTGATATGAAACTATCATTCTATGCGTTATTATTCTAAGGGTCAGAACACGTAATTGGCTGCATGTTTTATCCCTGTATGAAATGACACAGCATTATATAGTAATGGTGTAATGTGAATAAGATTGATAAATATGATAAATGGAACCGCACCTATATCGCCGGTATTTTGTAGAAAGAGCGAAAGCGCGACGTCGAAAGTTTTTTCAGGGGAGCATGTTTTACTTCAGGACTGTTTTAAAATATTTACCTACGCAAAATTGAATTTTAAGACGGGATGTCAATATTTTAAAACAGTCTTTAAAATACAAATCATGTACATACCTACCCCTGAAAAATGTTTTAAATGGCACTTTCGGCCATAAAAGAAAACACTCCCAGTGTCGCGTTGAAATGATAAGGGTATTTTTCTGCGGTAAGACACTTGTTATGATTTCTTTCATATTATCCTTAGAAACCGCAAAAAACCGCAGCTTGTTTTTATAAAATTTGGATGTATTTTTTCTAAATCAACGTGAAACTTAAAGACAAATTAACGTGAAATAAAACAAAAAAAAATCCCCGTTTTTTGATGTCAATATTTCCCAACAATTTCTAACGCTGGTTACCTCAAAACAGTGAATTAAATTGAGCGATCGGCGCCGAGTTGTCTAGACGCCTAGGCGCCAGCACGTCGAGTCGCGCGACGACAGACCTGCGCTAACGCATCGCGCGTTAGTTTAATACTTTATTGTCTCTAAATTTTTTTTTTATAAAACAAGTGCGCATTTGACTTCCATCTCACCTGATGGAAAGTGACGATGAGGTCGACGATGGAGCATGCACACCCAAATACGCGGTGCCATTTTTATCGCCGTTTGCATTTTTTAATATACAGTGTGCCCGTTATTCGGACAATTTTAAAATTGATTTTCTGTTCGGTTCCAGGCTCAGTCTCGGTGTACTTTAATCTTTTTTAAAAAAACTAACACTACATAACGTTTTATATAAAAGAAGACAGTAGTACAAAGGATGATTACCTGACAAGCAGATGTGCAGTAATAACGCTGGAAGCAACCCCTGCACTTCAGCTTAGTATATTTTCCACACACATGACAGACGCCTTGAGATATAGAAATTGCCTCCGGGTTGTATGAGGTAACATGAGTTATTAATGGTCCGCTATCGTCTTGTAGATCACCCTATAAAAAGCAAAATAAAGAATTTAGGATAGATCATTTTAGTAATGTTTGCACTCTATCCAGGTAGGTTTAATATCGAGTCTGGATCACGTAGCATTTTCTAATTATATGCAGTTTAAATTAATGTTAGTAATAGATGAATTGAAAAACGATGAGGACAGCTTTATGATGGGTGGTTCATTAAAACTTTTGCTACACACATCATAAAACCTCTATGATGTGTTCAAAAACCTCAAATTACGACCAGCATAAAGATAAACTGTTTTGTAAGAACAAATTTCTTATCTGTGAAAATGTTATTATTGCTATCTTAGACTATCCTCTAAGATTGCTATAATCAAATTCGATTTTATTATTACACTCAAAATTCCAACATGTCTGAAAAATAAAACAATTTAATTCGTGATTCGACCTCATTTCTAATATCAGTCGAGATGAAGTTTTATCCGACATGAAATGTCAACAGCAAACAATTTTGACTAATTTCGCACGTTACTTGATATCGAATGATATGATAGATAAAGCCGACTCTAGTTTGTCTACGAATTAAAATTTAATTCATATGTTATTTGATAAAAACTATGGTTGTAGGACATGCGTGAGAAAAGTTTTTTTGCCGCCATTTCGCCAGTCGTAACATACGGTTCCTGAACACATCATATAATAAGTGCTATTGCTATTGATTATAC